ACGTCTCACGATGCCGCAGTGCGTAATTGCAATTTGCAAAAATAATAACCGAAAAAGCAGTATAACGGCCGGAGTGTCTTACTTACGATAAGTCCATAAAGTATACGTTATATTTTAAGCTTTTAAACTAGTAAATAATATCAAATTAGACAAAATTACCAATTATAAAACAACACCACCAATGTTTGTGCGTATGTTGGCGATCCCTTGGCCAAGCATCGCCAACACGCGCACAAACATTTGTTTAAACAGAACAGTGGATGCATGGAGTCGATTTGTATTGTAAAATAAAATTGTATTGTAACCTGATTGGAAAAGAGTACCTAACCTATGGAGTTTCTTGCTCGTTCTGCTCCATAGGAATCTACACCTAGGAATGAGCAAATAGTTCACTTTTAAATTTATATTATTGACGTTCAAAAGTGCCTTCCTGGTCTAACTGAAATAAATGATTTTGACTTAGACTTAAACTTTTAATAATAAAGTAAATAAACATATCATACACAAAAACGTACCGCTAATAAAAATAAGTGATGTATACTAAGATCCCGAAATATTAATTTTCATAATTTATAAAATTATTTTAGTGTTCAACGCTACTCCATACATATGTACCTCCTGTAGCGAAATTCGAAATTCGAAAAACAAAAACGAAACAAAACAAAACGATATAACATTGCAAGGCAATAACGGAAAAAATATCTTTATTTGTTCTAGGTTAAGGTTGTATTCAAACTAGATATTGAATAACTTATGTCTTTTAATTTCTACATGACAAGAGTAAGAAAATGCTTTTCTCGTCTTACATGACGAATGGTCGTAAGTATTAAATAATATTTTGGCGATTTATGACTTTATTATTAGGTGCCATGGTTGTTATTAGGTTGACCTTAAAACCATTTTAAAACATTTTTCTCTGTTTGTTATTTTTTTACTATTATTATTCACACGGACAGAACTGGAGCTTGATTTTGTACGTAACCCTTTATCTAGTTGCTATTGTTGATCGAAGGAAATAATCAATAATATCGATACCCACGCTATTAACCAACCGAGGCCATATTGTGAACTAAACCTCTAACCCCAATTCAAATAAAAATAAAATACTTAAAAAGAAGTGACGCAGCACAAAAACCTCATAAGATCACATTATGTTAATCTCGGATTTAGCTAACACCTCCCAATATAGGATTAGGCCGATAATCCCATCGGTGGAACGTCTGACTTCCTACGATTTCAGTTTAGTAAATTGATCCCTCGGTATTATTTACACCGTGAACAATTCACCAGGTTTATTCCAGTACATTGGTTAAACACGTGTCTTTGTCGAGGTCGTAAATTAGCAATAAAACTTGAGTGAAAATTTAGAATAGCTGCAGGCGAAGGAACCATGACCCGATATCTTAACAAATCGATCGCCAGCACATAATGTTACGTTATTACGAGATCGTATATTAGAATTTATAATAAGCAGACCGCGAGGCTATCTGTCGGCGCGAGGCTCACGTCCGCTCCTCACACACTCAGTGTTATGGTAATGGGAGCCGTGACCAAAAGGGAACAACTCTCTATTACGCGCTGCGTCGGGGTCGGCCTCCGGTCGGACCCTGCTCGTTCGGACGACGTCGTGCGCCTTCCATTTTTGCTGCATATCTCCCGCTGTTAGGGACTAAAGCCGCAGGACCGACCGACCGCTACTTCCCACTTCAAAACGAAAACACTCATAAATAATAATGACAAATGATATTCCACTACGATCGCAGTACTTGTTACCATTTCTGGTGTAGTTCACGCCTATAACTTTTTATGGGAATGTTGTCCCTATAAATAGATTTTAGTTACAAAGCAAGTTGCCTGTTTTGAGGTTTACACCAAAATGTTTGAGTCTAACTGAGAAAACACGACCATATTCCCGAGAGACCACATTACCATACCATAAAGCTCATATTAATGTCAAGGATAAACGGACTGTCAGATGATTTAAAGGTAAATTCTCGGTTCGCATGGACTCAGATAATGATACCTTAATTGCGTTCCTGTGCTTTCCCGAATGATCGAATGGCAGTAATAGGTCTCTGTCTGCCCGAAATGACTTTAATTGGCGTTGGGAGATGGCGTATATTCAATAGACTTTGTTATTATTGTTCAGAAAGTAATAATTAAGTATCCCTTGCAGTAATGGAGGAAATTGTAATTTTATGGATAAGGTTACAACATTGAGGTGTGTATCAAAATGTTGTCGATATCTAGAGCTAGATGTAGTGTAGTTCACAGTCCGGGTTGAGCACGCGACAAGATTTAGTGTCGCAGGCGGCGGGCGTTCACGTCAGACAAATATTTCACCTTGGTCGCGGCGCCACAAGGAAACACCGATGTGACGCAGCGCACACAGAAACTTGGCTGCGCTAAATCAAACTCCGAGAGCCTTTGCGTACACATTCGTCTTTAAGATCCACCTCTAGAACACAAGCCTCCCTACTGACTGGCAATAACTTTTACTGCTGAATAATTGCCTCTCAGACGTTGGGACATTATTAATAGCCCTCGCATACCGCGCCACTGCCTTCAGTCCGACGTTCTTCAAACTCTAAATAAATGATTTTCCAATACAGTAAAATTTTGAAAACGTTCGTCTAAACATAAACCCGATACATATCAATTTCCTCCGCATTATTTCTTCGCAAAATGTTTATCCGAAAGTTTCGAAGTTAGACATGTTCCATGTTAACGTGCCAGTGAACTTGTTCGTTGTTGGTGTTACTTACACAACTGCAGCGCAGTAGATAACACTCAAACAGACAACACGAGAATGGGTTTACTTTAGTTTGCCGGCTGGATTTTGTTTTAAAATAGTTATGCCACAGTTCAAGGAATACGAGAAAACGAACAACACCTATTTCGTAAATGTTTTAGAGTACTTAAAGAAATAACTGGTATCTATTAACGTATTGGGAGCGATAAATTTAGGTTGGCGTAAATAATAAATAGCAATAAGCAAATATAGTTTTGTAATAAAGGAATGAGTTATACCCGTGACTTAATTGTGGTTGTTAGGTCTGACAAAGCTGATCCGAGATTAGGAGCGCAGGTTGCGTATGAAATTAAAATAAAATTGAGTTGATAGCATCCCTAAACGAGTTATTACGGGCGAGCCATAAAGAGCGGCTACTTCCTGGTCGGCACAGAAGCGGCGGTATGATTTCATAACTCGAATTTCCCTTTCGCAAGGCTTGCTTAGGTCTGCGGTCGAAGCTGATCCCAAGAATATCACGGAGATACGGCCAATTTATAATTTAATGCCGGTTGCGCTCGCTCCCGACCTAATCGTACGGGTAGTTGCGGACCTAACTTTTGATTTCAACTATTTGGAATATGATTTACTGAGTTATGCTTATGAAGTGGGTCGCTGCTAAACCTTGTTTGCGAACTTGTCACTGTTGCTCAGACTTGCTTCTGTGATTCAACTTGGTGACTATGTAGGATCAATATTAAAGAGTCTTCTATTGCGGTTACTGTTTACTTCCTAGCTACCTAAATAAATAAGTGATTTGACTTCACCACTAACACAAAAATGATTTTCATTGACAAAACGATTATTATTGATCATTACTTTGGCCCTATATTTTTTACATAGTTCTACATCTTCAAGGCCGTACATAATTTTCTATTCATAGTCTCTAGTATTTCCCTATTGATTATGGTACATAAAAATTGTACAGCAAACAGTTGCAAAAGGTTCCATGGGAAATATTTTATAATTTCTTACAATCCAATCAAGAATAATGACACCATACCGAAACTAATCGCATTGGAATCACTTGATACTAAAATGTACTCATACATTGAACAACGATGTAGCTTCTTTAATGCTGAGAAATTAATACGATAACGGTATATTTTGACAAAAAAGAACCTTATGTCATGACAATATGAACATATTTTCACTTGTTTCACTTGTTTCACAATTTCTATATTCCACTAAAGTGCTAGGGAAGACATTGTCTGACAATTGTTATGTAGGTACAATGGACATGACCACTAAACTTCTATTTTAACACTCCAAGAAATAAAACGCTGTAACATTAATGTGTATTGAATAAAACAAGTTTCTCATAAACCTCTTCATTTGCAGGATGACCTTCGCCTTGGCGCTGGTGGTGGTGTGGTGGGCGGTCGGCGTGCGCGCCGGCGAGCCGGTGTTTGACCCCAGCACCCTGATGCGACTGGTCCTCGTCCCGGCTGACGTCCCCGTTGGCTCCGTCATCTACCGCGTCCGCGCCTCCGACCCTGACTTCGATTATCCACTGCACTTCGAACTTATTGGTAAGGGCTTAATGTTCAAAATTGTTTAAGAAATGTTTTAGTCTTTACAGTTAACATTAAACTATTATAATGATTAAGACAAAGGGAAAATTATCGTGGACCTTAGACCCTTTGATACACGTCAAGTGAAGGTTTTATTTCTAGAATGAGAGATAATTTTAGATATTATTTATACCTCTATATTTAAAAAAGTTTTCATTATAAATAAAAGAAACCAGTTACAGCATGTATTATTAGAAAATATAAATTTTGTTAAAGAAAACTCGATGCCTAACTGAAAGAAACCCAATATTGCGAGGTTCAGAACAAAACAAAGCGTTATTGCATTCCATTAGCCAGGACACTCGAGAAGATAATTTGTCATTGATTTGCGGAAACTTCAGCAAACAATTTCTGTTTCGTGAAAAAACAATTGTCTCTTTAACGAAAAAACATAGCACGATATTTCTGTAAATCGCTTTATTCTCTACTTTTTCCAGCATATGGTTATAAGCAACAAAATTGTCTTCATTTGCCACACGCTAATATTAGGTTACTTCCACTTAGGTACCTTCTGCATGCTACACCTATTAAACAATTGAATCACCCTATGTTATTATTTTGTAGTTTGTCTCAATTTAATTCGAGTCAATAGGCCTATTTATATTAAACAATTTACCATTGTTGACTTTACTTTCTTGATCCAGGTCAAATGGGTCGCCTAGACATCGGTGTGGAGACTCTTCCTTGCACTCGCTACAACTCAGTGTGCCAAGCTAACATCATTCTGTTGAGGCGGTTGGAACCTGGTCGCTACGTGGACTTCAGGCTATCAGTTCGTAACACCAGGGGGCGAAGCTCCCGGATTGCATGTTCCGTCACAGGGACCAATGCTACGACGCCCAGGGATACCATTTTTCCACACCAACCTGGCATTATTCTAGTGCCTGAGGTACGTTCAGATACATTAGTTATTTGTAAAGTTTGTGTATCCACAGGAAATTGGAAAGAATAAAATGTATTCTGGTTCTCAACTGTAATAGAAAATTATACAGTACTTCGGTAATTACATTTTAAACAAAGATGGTTATAATGTTTAAACGAAACTTTAGCTCTAAAAGCAGCAAAGCTATTCACATGTAAAAGTCTTAAAGTCGATAATTGAAATACTGCAATTACGCTTCTTACTTACAGATATTATATTACATAACCCTTAACATGTTCTACTGCCTTAAGTAAACGTAAGTGCATACCTAATCGAAAATTGCTTTTCAAATCCAATTTCGCTAAAGAGAGGTTGCAAAGTTAAAGTATTAAGGGTTTATCACTACAAATGACACCTGATGGTAGTTTATTACCAATTCAAAAGCGACGCAGCGAAAGTACTTACATTAAAAGTGTCAGGTATAAAGATGTTCATTTGCATAGTCCAGTTATAATAGCAGATTTACGTGGAAAAAGCACCTGTCGGTGTAGTGGAGAACAAATGAGGCGACGAGAAGCGTGCCGTGTGACGGGAGTGATTGATGATGATGATGACGTATGTGCATAGTGACACAAAGGACGTCTACGAGTACTAGGGTTTTAAGATTACAGTATTAAACTAGACTTGTTCTAATAGACCTCAGTACTGTCGATTAAATAAAATTTATGTTGTATTTCGTTGCACAATTTGATAATGATTTTATTATATGTTTTTTTAACAGGATGCCAAACGTGGAACTGATCTTGAGATTGTGATTGCAAGAAAAAACCCTGTGTCACCGAAGCCTTTGGAACTCGAACTTTGGGTAAGTACTTGTATTTTAGAGAAATACATCTAAAGCTACGATGATTGGAGGTTAGCTAATGATATTTTATGCCAGCGTCGTGTTTGACACGCATTTCGTTGTAACCACATAATGAAGTTTCGCTCGCACGCTAATAGGGATCATTTTCACGGCGTTATTGCTGACGCGGGATACACCTTTGCGAAACTCATTTACGCTTTTATGTGGTCGGAACTCAACGTTACGTACAGGAATCGACTCCCACAAATTTGAATAGGCAATCAAAATCAAAATTACGGAACGAAAGAATTCACAAAGCCACGTAAGATCACGTAATATGTATTGTTCACTTTCTGAATCCAAAATCAGGTCTCGACAGCTTCATGACCGTGCGAAATAATCTAATTTTCGCTACAATTATAATTGCGTATACAGTAGACTACCACTTCAAAATGATAATTGTTACAACAAAAACGCGTTGAAAGCAGAAAAAGATAATAAGGCGAAAGCCTTCTTACTTCTCAATTTGCAAAGTAACAACATAATGCTCGTAAAGCGATTTGTGCCTCATTTTTTGAAACAGAAACAGATCTATTCATCATCGAAGCAGAACCGATTGTTAAGACACTCGATAAAATCGAAGTGGTTGATATGAATATGGTATTTCTGGAATGGGATCACATTAGGCTGCTTCTTAATAAGTGCATTGTGGTTGTTCGCATTTTGCGATGGACCATCGGACGGGATGCAATTACCGGACATTAAGAGCAAGGCGTGTTAAAATTCTCACAGAGCCGGAGAATGGCTAGCACCATTCGAGGTCGTTTTATAGGCTTAAATGCTATAATAATGGAGATCGTGTCCTTACATGTAGAGTAATTTTAGAGCGTCTGTTGTGGGCCGGGTAACGTCCAATGGGAGTGTAGAGTTTATTGTATCGGTTCCGACCCTTATTTCGATAATGGCCACATAGTCGTCGCTAAGTAAGCTGTGGGAAGTGATATTGTTATGAGTATCGAAGGGATTTAAATTGTGTTGTTGAATATGATTATCATTGATATCATCTTTAATCAGGACTATTGGTGTTATATTTTGTGAAACTTTTTCAATTGTTATCTGCCTTTGCATCTAATGATGTCTTATTAAATCTTTGTCTGTAACCTAGTAGTTTAAAAATACCTTAACTTACTTACTGATTATTTATTTTATACGTATGTATTTCCTTGTCCAGGGGTCACCGCTCTTCGCAATCCGGCAACGCCGCGTATCAGCTGAGAACACTGAGGGAACCATATTCCTAGTAGGACCTCTTGACTTCGAGGCCCAATCTATGTACCATTTGACACTACTGGCTGTGGTAAGTACAGCGTTTATTCAAATGAACCCTGTTCCCATCTAATTAGGGTTAATTATTCAACGTTCCTCACGAGATCAGGCTAATCTAGTATTGCAACTAATGATCACTATTTAAACTGTAATTAATTACGCCAAAACAAGTGCAATGGATTTTGTGGCTTGTGGTACATTAACTGATGTATGTGCAGCTGGGTTTTAATTAGGATACTATTTAAGGCCGCTAGTTAAAATATTTTGAGTCTAAATTGTAAGCCTAATCCTGGTAGGTATGTAATTTGCCTTTATTTGTTACTTCTTAATTCTTTATTTTATAAGTAGGGCTGTTTTCTCTCAATCAATCTCTTCTATGAACAAGAGCTCAAAATATGTAGGTACATAGAATAACGTAAACGGGGAATACCAATATTTGTAAGCATAAATTAATACTAGACTATAAAATTTATGAGCCTTTGCCCTGCAGTGCAGTGGGACGATCGTGGCTAAAAATAAAAAAATCAAATTGATATAAAAAAACGTATTACCAGTTCAAAACAAAGAAACAAATCAATAAATCAATGAAATTGACAGATTCCTTTAATAAACAGTTATTAGTTAAACATTTGCTACACTTATTAATCCAATATTCCATTCAGAATAAAGTTTATCAAGACTGCCACATTGGCCGAGTGATCGAAAATGCGAATGGCGGGCAAAGGGTCTCAGTTGGGCAAAGTATTATTGGGATTTTTTTTTGAAGTAGCACGGTGTTTGAAAATTTGCCCGGTATATGGCAATAAGCTCACCCCCTATTACTCATGTATGGGACTCATAACATAAATAGTGAAAAGTGGGTGTTATACTGTACAGTCTCTGGTTACCTCTTCGGAAATAAAAGACGTGATGTTATGTTACGTGAAATTATCACAATCTAAAGACTGTAACTATGATTTAATGAGTTACAATACACTACAAAAGCAGTCATTTCAATATTCATATGAAGTTAATAAGTTCCTTAAATGCTTATATACGACATTCAATACCGCTTCATTTGGTCTTCAATTCTTGCATAATCCATTTCATTAGTTAGCATCTACATTAACTCATTAAAAACCTATAAAACTATTTAATACAAAACTAGTGTATTTATATTTAACTATTTAATAACATGAAATGGGTTTTTACTTTTATATCGATCTTTATTTCTTAAACCTAATTGACGCTCATTGGCGTCTTTTTTTCTTCAGTAAAAAACTATTCATTTTTCTATTTTTCTCAAATAGTTTCGGTTCTTTTTTCAAAAAAAGAACCTAAACAGACATAACTTCGTTTTCAAACTAATTTGTGTTAAGTACAAAAAACATGAATTCACTTATTTTATTTTCCACAACATTGACAAAACAACCATATTTATTGAGCCATAGCCACTAGAGACCGGGATCAGTTGCGTAGGAGTGCGCATTTATCGATTAAAAGTACTAGCCCTATAAAATAATACTTACTAGGTCTGTTCATAGTGTGGCCGAGAATAGAACCTGAAGCTCGTGGGTGTTCTTACGAGGGGATTAAAAGATTTATACGTTGAGAATAACACTGGATAAGAGCCACTTACTTGTCTAGTGACAGTATTGAAGACTTCATAAAGGCGAAGTGTTTGTACTAAAATTGTTATGCTCCTTAAATGGTGTCATATAAATAGTTAAAGGGATCCGAAGTTCTGAACATTGCCTTATAAAGATTAAAAAGAAAATTGTGTGGCCTTTATATTTGATTGGATTATGTAACCATTAAAGTGTTTGTGGTATTTTAATTGACATTACTGTTATGAACACCGTACAGGTTAAAAATGTATAATAAGGATGATGACAGGGTATGAAAATTAAAAAAACAATTAGTCCGCCAGTTAGGAATTGAAAAAATATTAGACCGTATTTTTTGTTTTGTCGTATAAGAAAACAATACTTAAATAAAACGAATCAAAGTTTAACTCGTCGAGTATCGTCATTATAGACACAATTATAGAACAATAGGTTGCGGTCACCGGTGACCGCTTGGTGTTTGACAGTTTAAGAGTGGAAGGTAGCTATAGCTATGTCACTTTTGAATAAAAAAACGTACACAAAAGTGACGTCACGCGATATTTCAAATCAATATATCGTCGAAAGTACCTATTTGTGTCCGTGTCTAATTGTTTTAAATAATCTGCCAGACGGGCATTAAAATAAAAATTAGTCATCTACCTTATTGAAGTAATATCATAATTGTTTTTGAATATGCGGTAGTTTATTATGCTCGCTTTGTATAATTTACTGGGTAGTGAATATAATTTGTACTATATTTTTCATAACTTCTATTTGTGTACTGAAACGATAAGAAACAAGAATTAAGGTAACTAAAGGAGGCTGCCAAGAGCAATCGATTTACTCATTTTGAAAACACAGATTCCCTTGTTATGAACATATCCTTCTTAAGAAGTCGTTTAAAAATAAGTTATTAATAAAGAGATATAACTTATTTGTCATTAGGCATGATAATGAAAACATAAAATAACAATAAAAAGTAATAAGAAATTAATGTATAGGTATTTACCACCAACCATTACAATCAAAGACGTTGTTTTGCTTTTATATATGTGCCATAAAAATAAATCAACGTTAATCATTACTTCCAGGATCCCTACATAGAAATAGGCAAAGATACGCGCAACATCGCTGGTTTGGAAGTGGTGGTGGTCGTTCAAGATGTGCAGGACATGCCACCAGTGTTCACCTCTGCTCCTCCAATCACCCACCTTCCAAGGCAGGTGGCACCAGGAGATATGGTGGTTAGGGTCAGGGCTGAGGATGGGGACAAAGGAGCTCCCAGACAGATCAGATATGGACTAGTGTCTGAGGGCAACCCGTTTACGCCATTCTTCAACATCAATGAAACTACGGGTGAGTAACTGTTACTTATGGTGGTACTGTAGTACTTTTACCGCTATGTTCCAAGGGACTGTTTATCTATACTAATATTATAAAGAGGAAAGATTTGTACCTATTTTTGTATGTTTGTAATAAATAAGCTCAAAAAGTACTAGGCCGATTTAAAAAATTCTTTCACCAATAGAATGCTACATTCTTCCAATTTGACATAGGCTACATTTCATTTTGAAAAAAATTAGGGATCCTTGGTAAAATTTGAACAATGTAACCGAAGGTGTAGAAAAATGAGTCTTAAAATATCTTTCGTCGAATGCGCTGTAGTAATGACCCTACTCCGACTTTTTTTTTTTAACTTTGCCCCACGCTAGGATTTTCTTCTGTGTCGTGGGTGCGTTTACAAAGTTCACATACACATGACACCCAGGCCCGGAACAATAATTTGTGGATCACACAAAGTGTTGTTCCGTACGGGAATCGAACCCGCGACACGTTGCACGGCAGCCGGTTGCCGAGCCACCGTACTCACCGTGCAGTCATACAGCATAACTTTAGCAGTGAATACACAATTAATTTCATTGCATTGTACCGTCAATGTGACGTCAAAACTATGAGACAGAAGCTTCAATGCAAATGAACCACTTAGATTATTTATTAGATCCATAAAAATCTCTCACATTTCATAATACTTGGGAGTAAAACAATGAGCATACATACTACTTAAAAACCCATAAAGTTGGAACTATCATCGTTTTTAATGAGTACCTACTTGTAATAAAATTATAGAGGGTCATTTACATACACATTTTGTTTCCGATTCTCATAAACAACTCCGTAAAAGCTTTTCTTAATTAATTAATAAAATCTCGAACGTTTCCGCTATTTTATCTCAAAATATATTCTAACAATGATTCTCAGAGATCTTCCGTTAAACCTTCTATTAATATGGCTCTTAAATATTGTATTACTTTCATTTAGATTTAGATTAAAATGAGGGTTTATTTAGCCGGGAATTAAAATGCTGCATTACCCTAGCGATAATTTTGCATTAATATTCATTTACTGGCCAAGTCAGCGACTTTACTTAGTCTGTACGCTTTTGAACTGTAGTAATTAAAAAAACTACCCTTAAAGCATCGTCTTTTGAACTGTGTGCGCACATGAATGAATAGCACCAATGCTAAACTCACAGTCTAATATTATACTTAGTATCAGTTTCTTAAAATAAATCACAAAACAAAATATACAAAAATAGTCACAAAACTGACGATTTATTGGCACCAACTTTAATTTTATTGTCGCCAAAAGAGGTCGTGAAAGAAACGTAAACCACGATTCAACCGTCTGTAGCCCACTTTAACTCGACGTGTGGCCTTGATTATGCTACTAACTTAGTTTCCAAGACTTCTAGAATGTAGTTTTTATTGTCTACAGTAGGTCAGCGAGGTTTTTCATACATTTTTTCTTTCTTGATAACATCGGAACGTCCGTCGAGCGTCCGGCTTCCGTAGGATATCCTACTTCCTTATCGTTGGTCGACACCCACCCCTTATGGCCCACTTGCTACAAAACTATTACTCGCAACCTTGCGTGACCCACTTTACTTCTGTAACACAATCAGATTTAGTTTGCACTCATTTTCCACCAACTTCCATTTTACGCCATCAAAATTAATAGCGAAAGTTTGTTGGTTAAGCTAAACAATTAACGTATAGACAAACTGCTGAAGAATTTACGTCTAGAATTAATTGACGAGGTCACTTCTCTAATTTGTTATGAAACATTACGTTAGATGTAGGTGCGTCAAACAGTAAATAAACAATAGGTAACAAACGCAACATCCACAAGACGTCTGCCACCTGCTTAGCATAATATTTAGCATAAAGCCCAACAATTGTCGCAAGTAGTTACCATTCGGGAGCGAACTTGGCACCAAGTTTCCACATACAACTATATCTAAAGTTCAGCCTTACATCTAAATTCCCCTAACAATGCCATAAGTTGATGTTGAGTGCGTGGCTGTGGCCGCACTGACAACACTTAACAATGCGTATTTGTTTGCTAACAAAACTACAAACACGACGGACTTCGAAAATGCTAACAGGGCTTTTAATGCAACCTTGCATTCTGCTGAACAAGCACATAATGGCTCATTAGACCTTACCGGTCGCGCTCTCGCCTCGCCATCCATTGTTTGTAAAGCTGCCCTACCTTACTTCATAATAAAGGCACTTCCTTTGAATAGCGTCCCGGTACCTACGTAGTAGCTGACAATACAATCCCGACTTGCTCTGACATTATCAGTTCGAAAACTATGCTCGCCTCCGCAAACTCGCCCCTTAAGAACCGTTAAAACTTATCGGAATATTGGAAGAGCTGTCGTGTTTGAGAATTTGTCGCTTTAATCAGACCACACCTTACGAACATATGAATGGTTATCGAGATTCAATTTGGTTCAAGCAATTTCGAAGTTACTAAAAATATTCCGATCCGGGTGCTATACGTTGGTACATACGAATGGTCGTATTGTACAGTTGCCCATAAACTTTATTGTGATTCCGGTGTAGAGGTATAAAGTAGGTGCTATTTTCGTTTCATTTGAATATTCTTGCGTGCTGTAGTTATTAAGGCTGTTTATCATGTTCCCCATTATTTTTTTATTTTATTTGAATTAACAGACAACCCGAAATACGAATATGTAATTAATTAACTAGTAATATTAAAACAAACAAAAAATCATTTTGCCTCGTTGGCCGAATGGTTGAAAATGCGACTGCCGGGCAAGGGGTCTCGGGTTCGATTCCCAGGTTGGGCAAAGTATTAGGTACTGGGTTTTTTATAAATTCTCAGTAGTAGCACGGACTCTGGAATTGTGCCCGGTATATGGCAATAGGCTTACCCCCTATTAAATGGGACTAATAACATAAACAGTGAAAAGTGCGTGTTACATTGTACAGTGACATAATGTATAGCTCTGCCTACCCCTTCAAGGATAAAAGGCATGATGTTATGCAAAAATGTTTTTCATTGTCATCAATGTATCACTATTCAGTCACAACAACAAAAGGCACCTTTTAACGGTCTAACTTATTTATATCTTCAAATTCCAATAACATATTTCCTTCATAAGATTAATAGGAGAAGTTTTCCAATAATTTAATTGTTATTAAAGGTACAATGAATGAATAATGTTTAAGCATAAAGGTTAATATTCGCCATTAAATAAGCGATAGAGAAATGAATAAAAGAGGCAATCTATTCGGTTCATTAGTTGAGCCACTCGACCGCTATTAATACCACGTTGGTGTTCAGTGCAAGCTTTTTCATTTAAATGTGACAAAATAAAATGTGACTGCAGTTAATATATTTTAATCTTAAGCGCCTTAAAATATTTAAATTGTTTTTTGTTTTTATTATTTATTAACGTTTTTAATTACATATTTAGTTATTCTTTACAGTAGTGTGTCTGATTAATTATTTTATTTTATACTACACTATGTTCCATTATTTGTTAGGTATTGAGTAAAGTATTCATTTTTTGTATGACCACGAAAAGTGATCATAATGCAGGCATTTGGCATAATGGGTTTAATTTTAATAGCATAACATCACGCCTTTTATCCCAGAAGGGGTAAGGCAGAGGTGCACATTACAGCACTTAATATCACTGACATTAAGTAAGTTAAAAAAACACCCACATTTCCCTATTTATGTTATGAGCCCCATGTAATAGGTGAGCCTAATTCCACGGCAATAATATTACCTTACTATTGCCATATACCGGGCACGATTCCGGACTACGTGATACTACTGAGATTTTTTTTAAAACCCAGTAATACATTACCCTACCCAGGACCACTGCGACCACTCACCTACCGATTTGGCCACTAGTTTATTAAAATGTCCCTTGCCTTCTGCTTCGGAGAATATCTTTAAATATGTTCTTAACAGACAGGAATATGCACATAATGTTCATCTACTACCTCAGCAATAATTTATTCGGTCCATTCAAGCGTTACTAGTAAATAATTAATGAGCCCTCATTTGCCTTGTCATCGCCGACAAATGACGATCTTAGCACTTTGATATTAAGAGTGGATGTACCACTTTTGTATGGTAATCACCTTTCACGACTTTTTTCTCAAACACCTACTTGGCATAATGAATGTACCAGGCTGTCATGAATGGAAGCAAGTTCTTGCACATTTGAATGTGTCATATTATCATGTCCATATTAAACAGTCTCATGGTTATTCATTATTTTTCAAAGAAATATCACTGGAGTCCGATGTTTGTCGTCTAAAGGCTTGTCCCGAACTTGTCTAATAATAATAGTAGGTACTGGTAAAGAATTTCATTAAAAGGGCACACACATTGAAGGAACTTTTCGGCTGACGTTCGTTTGTTTACTCGTTTATTGTTTTTCTTTTCACATTCCTTTCCTAGGAACTTGTTGTTGCCCTTGTTTATTTTTCATTTAATGCAGACTACAAACACCAAACTGAAGTAAAATGAGATAGTTACCTACACCGTATTTAAAAATAAGGTCTTTTGTATAATGAACAAACATAAACAATTTAACTTTCGACATATTTTATAACGAATTTCACGATAGTCATCATCTCCGAAGTTAAGATAATGTAAAAAATTACATTCTTTTAAACTTACGCCATCTGTGTTTTTAAAGCTGAACTACTCAAGCGGTATAAACGTGTAGGTGTTTTGTGCTGCGTGCTTACTATCCCTAACAGCATTTACGTTACGGGATGAAAGAAGTTACAGAGTAGTTACAGGTTCATTCCACAGATGGCATTACGGAGCTAATTCTGTGTATCACTTTTTTAAACATCAATGTTCTCATTATAATTATTTCACTATTTCTGTATAAAATCGTTTTCATTCTTATTATTAATATTATTTTCTATTTTCCATTTTATATATCTGGCATACCTATTTGTATTGAAAAAAATATCCATCTACCTACATGTCTAGTTAACATCTCAAATGATATTTTCTTCAGGTGAAGATTTAAGAAAATGATTAATATGATTGTAAAATTAATACCTATATTAATAAATAATCAGAACATCATATTTTGTTCTTTCCTTTTGTATCTTGAGGTTTCATACAAAAAATATACCATCTTTTATCAATCAGGACTGAGATTACTTACAGTTCATTTATTTAATTTTTTCAGGGGAGGTGACCTTAGAACGGCCAATTGAGGAGATTGCAGCGATCTCTCACGCTGGTGCCCCAATACTCCTCACGGTGGTAGCTGAGGAAGTGAGGTTGTCACGCGAGGAACCCGAAGCTATGTCCTCAACTGTACAACTCGCCTTCATACTGCCTGAACGAGAAAACTCACCGCCGTACTTTGAGAATCAGTTGTAAGTTTCAATCTTGATTCGTATCTATTTCGTAGTTTTACTGTAATCATATTTACCTATTTTAATTAGAAAATTATAATATTTGCTATGTCTCAAAGAAGTTAGCTAATTTCTCATCACTTATATTATGAATGAAACGAAGAAAGGTATTGCTGTCAATAGATTTTTTAATATTGGCTGACCCAATATTAAAAAATCCTAACAATTCTTTAACTTAATAACTTCTCAACCAACAACCTGCAAGGTCATCAGGCCTATAAGGTTTCAATTCAGGCCTAATGTGTGCAAAATCAAATTAACAGAATCATTATAATAATTTTCAGCTACATCACATACTTAGACGAGAACGCTCCTCAAGGCACAGCGCTGACGTTCAGTGATCCATACATACCACAAGTCAATGACAACGACGCTGGCAAGAATGGTGTGTTTTCTCTCTCGTTGGTCGGCAACAATGGAACCTTCGAGATCTCGCCAACCGTCGCCGAGAGACACGCCCAATTCATCATCAAAGTGCGGGACAACACCATGCTTGATTTCGAAGCTAGGAAGTCTGTTATATTTCAGGTAAGAAATTAGGGAAATTCTTGTTTACTATTCGATAAAATTTCTTAACTGATGAGGAACATTTAATTATGAAATATCGCTTAAAAACATTATTTTTCGTTTATAGATTCTGGCTCAAGAGCTGGGTCCTGCAACGAATCTGTCAGCGACAGCGAACGTGACAGTATACCTCAATGACGTCAATGATAACCCGCCAATATTCCTGGCGCAATCGTATGACGTGGAAATACCAGAGAACGTCACAGCCGGTACCAAAGTCGTACAAGTCGCAGCAGATGACGTCGATACCGGCGCGTTCGGCAAAATACAGTTCACTGCCATATTAGGATACCTCAACACTTCCCTTCACCTGGATCCTTTATCGGGAGTCATAACTGTCGCCACAAACAATCATGGCTTCGATCGCGAAGCTATGCCAGACCTGCATTTCTTAGTAGAGGCTAGAGATAATGATGGAGTAGGTTTAAGAGTAACAGTGCCATTAATTATTAAGTTGCTAGATGTAAATGATAACCCACCAGAGTTTGAGAGGTCGCTTTACGAGTTTGTGCTGTCGCCGAGTCTGAATAATTTCACTTCGGCAGCATTCGTGAAGGCAGTTGACAGAGATTCCGAACCACCAAATAATATAGTCAGATATGAAATAATACAGGGAAATGGAGATGGAAAATTCGCAATCAATGAAGAGACAGGTAAATTAAGCTATTCTCACTTTTAAATCTTAACGTATAGAAAAATAACTAAATTGACATAAAATATAAATGTTAATTTAAAATTTTCAGGTGAACTGTATCTTCTAGAAGCGTTGAAAAGAACAAAGAAACAAAACGTTCACAGACGAAGACGTCAATCTGATGATCAAGAAGAAAGCGAAGTATTTGTTCTCACAATCAGAGCTTACGATCTAGGTGTTCCTAGATTGTCTTCTACAACAGTAGTGAAAATATATCCTCCAGAAAGTAAGACTAGGACAATGTCCTTCATAGTACCTGGTGCTAATCCTGATAAGAAGAAATTAGAAGAGGTACTAAGTACGCTTTCTGGAGGCAAAGTATCGATCATTGATATCAAGCCTTATAAAGGTGGTTATAATGGTGCAACAGATTTGAACGGTCAGGAATCTAGTCAAGAAAAGTAAGTATACCCATTTATTATAATTTTTATAAGATAAGCCGGTAAAGGGGCAGACGGATCATCTGATGGTAAGCAAACGGTGCCACCTATGGACACCTGGAACACCATAGGCGTTATAGGTAAGTGCGTGCCCGACCTTTTGGAGATTAAAAATTTGAGGATTGTTAGGGATTAGGGATAAGGGAGAATTGGGGATGATGACAGGGTATGAAAATTAAAAATATAATTAGTCCGTAACTTAGGTAATAAAAAAATATTAGACACGTATTTTTTTATTTTGTTGTATAATAAAACAATACTTAGATAAAACGAATCAAAGTTTAGGAGTGGGGGCTAAAACGTCATTTCTTAGTATAAAATGTACTGAGAAGTGACGTCACGCGACATTTCAAATCAATATATCTTCGAAACTATTCGTTTCCGTAAGAAAATAAAAAATACGTGTCTAATGTTTTTAAATAATCTACCAGACGGACATTAAAATAAAAATTAGTCGTCTACCCCATTGAGACTCTGGTAACCTCACTCACACGACGAAACACAAAGCAAGCGTTGTTTCACGTCGGTTTTTGTAAGGCCGTGGATGACTCCGGTCGAGCCGACCCATTCATGCCGAAGCATGGCTCTTCCACATTTACATCAAAAAATAGTTAGTTCAATCAAAAATTAAACATTAGTATTATTAAGTTACAATCGGAAGGTTAACTCGCTGATTCATTGATTTAAAAATAATTGTATATTTATATATGTAATTACTTGTTAACAAAACGATTACTAACATATAATTTAATGTTTTTCAGGAGTGAAGTGATCGCTGTAGTGCGTATGACCGGTAATACTGCCATTAACGTAGCCAAACTTCAAGAACAATTGGCAAAGAATGTCACAATATATACGACAGGCACCAACTCTGGTGGTGTCATTAACCCTGGATCAGGAACAGGATCAGAATCGGGGTCAGGAAAATCTGATCAGACAGCTGATAGCAACGATTCTGTAAGTGTCACTTTATACAATAACTAGCTACTTACTTCCGCGCGATTTCACCCGCTCTGCTCGGTGCCTATTGATCATAGCGTGATGTTTTATAGCCTATAGCCTTTCTCAGTAAATGGATTATTCAATACAAAATAATTTTTCAAATCGGACAAGTAGTTCCTGAGATTAGCGCGTTCTAACAAACAACTTTAACTTTATACATAATAGTATAAGATAAACGAATAATGTAAACTTCTTGCATGAGTTTTATTCGTAATTCCTACTTTTTTGCTATTTACTACATACATAAAAGTAGGTAAATAACGATAGTTCAAGTGTCTTGTAAGAGGTACATATTGGTACATACCTATAATGATAAAAAAATCCATGAAATCCTTAACGAATGTTTAGCGTAAATATGTTAATGTCAACTTTAACAAAATTGGTCTCTAATGCACATTATTCATTATTTTCCAGGGTCTATACAGAGCAGAAAGCAGACTTCTGTTCTGGTTACTAATATTGCTGGCGATATTGGTAGCCATAATACTGTTACTTCTTATATGCTGCTGCATATGCGAAGGCTGTCCACTTTATATGCCTCCAAGGTAAATTTCACATTTAATATCCGTAAATCTAGTCAGCTTTTCACTCAATTGCTAACTCCTAACACAATTTGGTCAAAACCCTTTTTAGGTACACAACTAATTTTTGGTTTAAATTTTTTCTACTAATATTTCCTTTTTTCTTATTAACAGACTGAAATGCACCAACTAATGCAAGTTCTCACAACAGCTTAACACTTTTTTAGGTAAATATTTATTTTGATTTATATCGCACATTTTTCTATTTTTTATCTCTTCCAAGGAGTGGGTTAATACGACTAAATACTCACAAGTTGGAGGAATCAATGTTAAACAGTTATCTAAAATAAAATTATTTATTTATACTGCATGTGATATGAATTGGTACAACTAAATGAGATTCACTTTTAACATTCACCAGCACAATCTTATTACTACTTAAGTGTTGATAACAGAACAGCTAGGTACATAGATATCCATTAATAAATTCTAGGAAAAGAGTGATACGTGTCAACTCCACAGAGGACGACGTGCATTTAGTGGTGCGCGACAAGGGACTTGGGAGGGAAAACAAGTCGACGCAAAATTTAGAAAATAAGTCCATACAAGCTAATGAGTGGAGGAGGCGCGAGGCATGGAGTGCCGAACAGGCAGACTTGAGGACGAAACCGACCCAGTGGAAGTTCAATAAACGCAACCACAGATCCAATAAAGAGCCATCTAAACCAGCTTCAACGCCAGGAGACATTCATCAAGAATTCGTACACACGGCTGCTGACAATGATTATAGATATAACGACAATCGACAATCTTTCCGCAGGTAATTGGACAAATTATGAATATTATATCAAGCGATTACAGAACACAACATTTTCAGCTAACTAACATAAATAATGACTGTTTAATATCCTGCCTTATCATCTTTTCTATCCCTATCTATCATTAACAATTATCAAACATCATTAAATAATATCACAACGGAACTAATATTAGGGTATCGGTAACATTATTTGCTAATATCAGGATCGTGTTTGCTAATCTGCTTCTCCTTTTTCCAGAGACGGGCCCAACATTATTTACACGAAAGAGATGCAACTACAAGAAGCTTTTGCTAATAAACACAAAGAATACATCGAAGACCTAGAAAATGGTTACGATAGAATAGCTACACTTCATTATCAACGCAGAGAACAAGACAACGATTCCATTCGAAGACATGAAATAGATCGCGGTTCTGAAGTCGGAGTCTTCCTTAAGTCTGATGCTGATAAGAACATACACGATAAGACTGATAAAACTAAACGTGAATATCCAGAGAAACTGCGCGCCCCATCTTCTCAAGGCAGGGATCAATATTTTATTAAAGAAGGAAATACAGAAATATTAAGATTAGTAACTAGAGGTAAGAATGAGGAAGAACGTTATGTTAATTTACCTGTTCCACAACAACGACCAGTTACGCTTATACCACATACACAATACGTTGTAGTTGATAGTGGGAAAAACTTGCTAATGGAAAGGTTTATAAGAGAACAGGGAGAAGAAGCAAAAAACATTAGAGATCGGATGAGTAAAGTCACTGATTTAGATAACATATCGAATGGAAAAGATGCGAAGAGCTATGGACAAAGGTCACAAGTAGGAAGTGACGTTCCGAATCAATTCAATGAGTATACTAACCTTCAGCCTGAAGTACCAGGTACGGTACCGCTGAAAGCAGACTACTTACAATCTGCATTATTAGAAATGCAAAACAAGTCAACTATTCATCAAGAGTTACTAGAATCATCACTCAGAAAACAAAATGAACTTTTACACCAAATATTAATTGAACGAGAAAGGATGTTACAAAATCATGAAACCGCTTCTCAAGTCGAGAGTAAGCTAGAAACCCAGAGCTTGCCTGGACATTCCGTTATGGCAACTCAAACAGAATGTCATATTGGCACACAAACTGAACCACAGCTTATGAAACCAACTCGAAGAAAAGCAAGAAGTGACAACGATTCATACAGTGAAGATGAATCAGAAATGGTAGTCGAAGATGAAACTAAAAAAGTAGCGTGGGTGAAAAAGAAAAAGCCTAAGAAAAAATTAAAACACAAAGATCCTAGAAGAAGCATGCGAGTATACGATTTAAGTAGAAAAATAAAAACGCCAATCCTCGAAGAAAGTGAAGTCTCTCCTTCATTGGAAAGCGAAAAGCATGTAAAAATAAGTAAAACCAATGAGAGAGAAGAACACATTAGGAATTACGGCGACATGACAAAAAGTACAGTCACCACTTCTAAGAATGAAACTGTGTCTTCTACTCAGATAAAAATTTCAGATAGTGACCGAAAGTCAAGACTCAGAAGAGACGTTTTAATGGAGATTTCTGATTCATTGGATGAAAAAGTGGAATCTGATTTCGGTGAAAGAAGGTTGAGATTACAGAAACAATTCTCTGTGACCACTGATGATATGCCATTGAAAAGTCCTCTTGCCATTGAACATGAAAGTAATGACAGTAAAAGTAGAAGCAGCTCGGCTTCCAAAGACAATCGAAATTTAGTATTTTCTAGACAGGGTTCATCAACGGAAGCACGAGAAATAGCAGCTGAACACTCCTCGACAAAATTATCAGATGTAGATGCACATTCAATTAAATTAGATAGTTCAAGTAACGTAGAACCCAATAGCAAAAGAGGTAACGAAGCTAGTGAGTCAACAAAATCATCAGAAAGTGCAAAACCAACACAAAAAAGTTTGCCTCGTTACATGCAGTGGTATGGTAAGAAATCAACTGCTGCTAAACCCCCACCTGCTGAAAAAGTGGTGCCCAATAAACCAAAACGTCCATCTAAAACAAAAAACGAAGACGATAAAGACAAAGCAGGTCGATATGGAAAAATTATGAGCAAAGACACTCAAGGCGATTCAGAGGTAAAAAAAAACTTCAAATCAAAAGAAAATGAGTTCATTCATCCACGAATACTGAAAGAAGAAAAGGTGACTCCTGTACCAGAAGGTCCTTTACCAGATGTTCATCCATTACTTCAACATTCTGAACACAGGTATGAACATCAATATGAAAATCAAAATCCATTGTGTTACATTCAGCCTACGCATATTCCAAAATATTTAGGACAGCAACCGATGCCACGAAAATTGGCACCAGAACAACAACCTATTTATGTAAATCAAGACGATGTCAAAGAACCTAAACAGGATATCATGGAAAGTGCGTTGACACACAGTATATCGATATCTACAAGCTATGAAGAAGACCGCAAAAATCCAGAAGTGCACGTGTCTAAGATAAATATAGGTGGTGATAATGTGCCTGATATAACTCATAGAACAAAGATAGATGATAATGATTCAGGTATTGCTATGAATACGTTGGTACAACAGAACAATATGAAGAGATTGCCAATAACAGAGAAGAAAAGTGTGTTCACGATCGCGTACGACGATGTTCAGACCAAACAGTTACGACCAGACAGTAGTTCTACATCTTATTAAATTAATTCACTTTTTACATAAAACCTGTATCCGTCGATTGAGTGCCTTAAAATCATTGTAAATTTAGGATAGTCTCAAAGAACTAATGCCTTAATACTTAAATGGCTCAAAATGATCAGATATTAATTTAATGTAGATAGTTCTGTGTAAAATGATATAGATGGCATGATACTCAACTACTACGTAAGCGTTTCAGTATTCAGGCGTTAGCCAGTAATCCGTCCAATGTTAAAAGTATTAAATTATTTGATAAAGAGTTAAAAGTACTTTACGCTGAAGTTTTGAATACCATTTTAGCTAAGATTCAAATACTTAGAGTAAATTAGATTAAGCTAGTTTCGTTATACGTATAGGATTTTAGCTAAAATGTAGATATTCGAAGAGAAATCAGCGGACTTGTACTGTAAGTAAAACTTGATACAACTGCCTTTGTTTATTGACTGGTTTATGAAGTAATTTTAGAATATTTTCCTATAATATTGTACATAGGTCACACGTTGAGTAATTAGATGATATTTAAATTAATTGTAGCTTTAATAATGTCTCTTTGTAAATATTATTTCTGTAAAACCTTACAATGCATTCTGATACAGTGTGCAGTTCTATATTTGTTATAAAATATAAAGTTATATATTACATATTAAACCATGAGTATTATTTATGCATGTCTTTATTTTACTTACCTGATATCTTTTTTACCCGACTATGCCGAACCCAAAATGAGGGTTATGATTTTGATGACCAGTATGGATGTATGTATGTATGTATGTTTTTCTGTTCCCTCCTCACTCCTAACCTACTGGTCATAATTTAATAAATGGGGGTATCAATAAAAGATTATCATTAGTCTAGTTTTAGACTGCAGAAAATTATGTGAAATAGCATATTATGGCGCCCTCTAGAGGTAGAGGCCAAAAATAACATGAATAAAAAAATGGTCTAATTATATAGTGTTTGGTATTAAATGAAAGGGCGTAACTAGCACATTTCAAAAATTGTATACTTTAACTCGCCAAATTGCTTACATAAACAGGATAAATAGAAAAAATATTGAAATAAATTAATCCGTAACTAGAGTTAAATTTATTATCCCTCATTACGTTAAAAGTTATATATTATACTAGTGGACCCGACAGACGTCCTGCATATCCACTTGAATGTATAAACAAAAATTCATTCAAATTAGTTCAGCTGTTTAGGATACATAACATACGTCGACTGCAGCGCCATCTGCCGGGCTGATTTGTGAATCTAAACGATTCCCAGATTCCCTTGACCACACACAAAAAAATTCATCAAAATCGGTCCAGTCGTTTGAGAGAATTTTAGTGACATCCACACTCACAGAAGAATTATATATATAATGACAATATCATATCATAACTTATAAGAGGTAGTAATTATTGAGGAATTACCCTGTACTATACGATACTATCGACAGAACTATACTTAAGAGCGACTTAAAATTGGGGGACGTTTGAGTACTTCGTTAGTATACTGGTTAAGAAGTCTTACCACGGAACCTACTCAAGAAACCATTCTTTACAAAACGTTGTTTAGGGCGAGAATTGTTGATTGAGGATATTAATTAATTTACCGTAGTATACCTCTATTTTAGTTACTTGTACTTATACCCCAAAATAATAACATAACACAACATTTTTTATAGTCGTGTTCTATGTACTGGAAAAATGTTGAACTTTAAATAATGTCATGTTGGTTAATTGTGTTAATTTATGCTGTAATGGTTATAAATTGTTTTATTATAGTAATACAAGCTAATTTTGTAACTTTTAGGTAGAAATGAAACATAACTCTCTTGTAGGTAGTCATTTATTTAATTTTAATATAAATTCAAATCGCAAATATATTTACAGTCACAAACATAATTCATATTATAATATTGATACTCGAGTATTTATGCAACTTATAATACCTTCACGGCCGTATCACATGATATTTTTAACAATTTATAAAAAAAAGTAAAATTATATAATAATAATTCGACACCTTATAAAATACTAAATAATACAACTTATAACCCCATTAAATTACAGAGTTACTTTTGAATCGACATGAAGTGTGGCAAGCTAAGGCCTGGCCATCGAAGATATTATCTTTCCAGCATTGGATGCCTATTTTGTGCCGGCGGTGGTCGTGGCTCGACCAACCCTAGCATATGCTCACCGCCGATGTAGCGTTGAATTATTATGCCGACTCGTTTCTCGAGGGCATGCAGACGCGCTTGCATTTTAGCTTTTTCAGAAGTTTCTTGCGGTGAATTTGTAGGTACTGGTACTGGTGGTGACATTGCTGTCACAATATCTGCCAATGCACACATTTGATCCGTAGTACGAGTATTATCCACACTTAATATTTGACGCACATTTTCTGGTAGATTATTCCGCCAGGTATTTAAAACAATGTCTTCAGGAACACGTCCACCAGCAATTGTTCTAAGTTTACGCAGGTATTCTGATGGCTTTTCGTTCCCATATGGCTGACGTTTTACATGTTGTAATGTCAGTCGCTTGATAAATTCGTGCTTGAAAGCCTCGTATATGTCGTCTATATTCGGCGGATTTAGTATAAAATCCTGGATTATAGATAAGAACGACGTAGGAACATGTGCTATAGTGTATTTATATTTGTCTATCTCGTCAAACACTAGATTTGCATCAAATGCTGCCTCCATTTGAGCGAACCAAAGAGCAGAAAATCCACCTGAAAAGGGTGGGTACGGTATGTTATCCATATTAATGTCCTCAAGAACTAAAATCGTTAATAAAATGGGATTAACAAATTATACGTGTAGTCACGACCAATTGAAGGCCCAAAGAGATAGATCATTAAATTCACCTACCGTAAATATTATCAAAGAAATTACGAATATCAATAAATAGTGGGTAATTTGATTTGATTGATTCATTCTAGCCGGTGATCATACCATAGTGTATATAGGTACCATAGTGCATAGGTATTCAATTATCTTAAAAATATGCATCCATTCCATTTAAAATAATGATGGCAAATTAAAAACCTTAAAAACACATACACCAGTAAGTAACTGACTGTTTCAAAAATAAAATTATTGTGTTGCTGTGTTGCCCACAATAAGAGGTAGAAAAACTTATGGTACCAATATCTCACTTTGTGAATGTTTGCAATTTGTCTATGGAATAGCATACACTTGCAAAAATGATGATCACCAACAGAACTGTCAAATTTTAATAGTAACAACATTCAGTTTCTGCATAGCCGTTGTCACGCTACAGTTACCAAAAAGCAAAAATTGTTTCATCACAATGTAGCTTTTCGCACTGATGAGGTATTAGGACTGCATAACTAACAAGGAGAGCCATCCTGAACAATATGGGCCAACCAGACTCGGCCCAAAAACCTGCGCGAGATGATGAATAACGGATATTTTACTCCTAACAGTGTTGCGGTATCAGGATATCATAATATTAAGAGAGCTCTCTCAGACACGTCAAAATTAGTTTACAATCATACCACTAGATGGCGTTGCCGACCAAAGCCTAAGCAAAATATATTTTGTTACAAATCATTGAAACTAGATGTCGCTGTCGGGAAGCGTTGTTAAATACCAAGCGCGCAGAAAATTCAGTTTTTAATTAATTAACTCGACAACAGATGACTCTGTAATCGACAAATTATATGTAAATTGTACATAATCAATCAACGCAAGTCATATCAATTGAGCATTGTTCTACTCTATCTGATTCTCCTATATTTTTAACAGCCTGATATAGCAATTCTTTATGTAAAGAATTAAAAGCGTAAAACTGGCAAAATGCAGGATACACGTAAGTACCTGAACAAGAAATTATTCTTGCTTAGTGGCGAGCTCGAGCTTCCCTTACATATATCGTTAACGATGTATAATCAAAATTAATAACCAATTTCAACCCAAAATATGTGAATTAAGATACATTTTTGACTTTTCTTGTATGGAGTCTCTGTCAAAAGCAGAGGTCGATTAAAAAACATGTCAGGTGACCATAGTAACTTGGGAATATTAAAATGCGATGGACAGTGAATATTCTTGCGTTTTTGTATTGTTTTAATGCCAAAAGCATTTCTGTGATTTCCAGTTTTACATTGAACTTCAAAATAAGAAGTTAGTCAGGCATTTGAAATTGGAATTTGTATTTTTACATGATTTTTATATGATTACAGTGACAGGATTTTAATTAGGTACGTAGAATTATCGATTACAGTAGCAACACTGGCAATTTTTTTTTAATTTAAATCTGGAATTTTAGAAAGCAATAATGAATGAATTCTTATTTAAAGGCCAGTTGAGGCTTTTGGGGTCATTTTTCTTCAGTACCATGTTTTATGTAACATAGTTAATTATGAAAGTTTACATTTCATCTGTAACTACACTATCAGTATCCAACATAATATTTAAAAAATATTAATTATAGACTAATTTCTACTAGCTTGTAGCAGCGGATAAATAGTAGCCTATGTGTTATTTTAGACCAAACCTATCCCCGTTCCACATTTCATCCCGATCCCTTCAACTACTTAGACGTGAAAGAGCAAACATACAAACATACAACTCTCATATTTTTAAAATTAGATAGTAAGATACTTCGCTGGATTTTATTCCAACCAGAATCTGAATTCTGATACACACCATAGAATGCACCACATCCTAACACAGTTTCATACTCCCATTTTTATACCTATCGCGTGACAGCGCGATAGCTACTGGATTTTTTGAATAACCAGACGTTTGAGTTACTACTCTAACAATCAAGAATAGCTACTACAAAAAATTCTATCAACTACCTACTAAAACGTTGTATAATGAGGACCAGAATTTTCACAATAATTAGAACATTCATAATTTGTAGTTTTGTTCTATATACGTTCAATTTTAAACTCTTGAGAGGCGCTGATTGCTTACTACCGGTGATTCTGTCTGCTCCTTTTGCCCCCGATTCTATAAAAAGTATTGTTCTAATGCTTTATTTACGCACATTATAATTTGTTCTCATTGTTCACGCTTGCCGAGTAAACACTAAATCTACATATTTACCCTGCAAGGAATGTCGACGACATTTTTCCTAGTTAACGATTTGTACTTAAATATTGTTTCATCAGAGCGGTACCGTTCAATCACTCGCCTGAGCAGCTCCTTCATTCAGCTCATTTGCACAGCCGAGTCGCGCGGAAAATTATTTCTTTTTCATATTCCCATTTTTCACTTCTTCTCAACTTACAAGTTTTACAAAACTGGGGAGTTTAGCGATTCGTCTGTTTATTTTTCTTTTCTCGTTTTTTTTTTCTTTCACTCATTGGTTTATTTTTTCTGTTCCGAGTTTTTGTTTAGTTTGTTCTAACTGTAGGAGGATGGTAAATGTTAGTTGAAATTAAAGTTAATTTTTCTTTTTTTACTTATTACAGTAAAACAGTATTTAGTTTTCCTCAAACTTTCTTCAAAGTCAACGTCAAGAGTCAAAGTTAGGAGTTTGTTTTAATTAATTTGATTCATGAAATAGACTAGGTAGATACAAACCATTAACAACAACAATTGATAATTACATTTTGTTTAAAAGTATAGGTATTACAATTACATACATAACTTACCTTTCTTAACATGCAG